CCCCAAAACCCCAAAACCCCATAAACCAAGTACCAATGTGAATGGTGAGTTAATAGAATTACATAAAATTATTCATATATTTTAATTCAAACAATCATTATAAAAATCTTTAAGCAGTCATTAATCATTATCTAAGGCGAATCTTACACCTTTTTACCCAATACTCTTGGTAATCACTATTGAATCATCTCCATCATGATTATTCTTAATATAGTTTATAGTTTTTTGCAAGTTCTTTTTCTTCCTCTAATAAGCTCTCAACTTGGTTCTTATTTTGGAAAATTGCTAGTCCAAACTAAAATTCATCAATTGATTGAATTTAGATTGTGCCTCTTCCTACTGAATTTAATTATGGCCTTAAGTTGCAATTTAGTTACTAACCCCGACTTAAAACTATTGACTACTACTCTCCTTATCAGTTAGAGGAATTCTTCTAGAATGATGATTGTTATGCTATTGAATAGTTAAAGGATTATTTTCAGAGTGCTTTGCATCAAGATGAGGTAAGATTTTTTATTTTATTGCGAGCAGATTAGCCTGCTTAACTGCACTTTATAGATTCTAGGCTGATTGCTATTTTGGAATCTAAACTTATGTTAAATCTTTTTAGGAGGCAGTTCTGAGGAATAGGTTCTTTGAGCCAAACCTAGCTTTATCTTGCTATTGGTTCATTAGATTTTGATTAACGAGTATCTCATTAATAAGAGTCTTAGTTTTATCCTTTCTGTTTGCTGATAGAGCTGGAGATAAATCTTTAGAAGGCGATAATTGTCTAACGGCCTTGGCCGGTTTTAAACCCCCTTAGCTTTAATTATTTTCACTACTCCCAGATATATTCTTCTTTATAACTCTTACTAATCTCCTTTGTGGTTATGTCACATACTAAATCTTCTCAGTACTCATTGGAGATTTTTCCGATATTGTGTCTTTATCATTCTAGTTCATTAAGTGCTCTTGAGATTCTCTGTCATTTAATTGTGACATGAGAAGCTCGTCTTTGACTACTTATTTTTTATGCTTGAGCCATGTATTCTTCTATGAGAGTGAGCTTGATTTATGAGTGTTCACAGTAATATTTATACTGGGAATAACATCTTTTTGTATTGGATTAGCGTTGAAATTTATAATGTTATTAGTTCTACTGTCAAATGTGGCTTTATCTGATATCATTTCAACCAAAGGCTTTTATTTTTATTACTTGTATGCTTAATATGCAAACTTAAATGAGGCTGCATTAGAACTTAGATAGCTTTGCTTAAACTTTGCATTTTCCTCTTTTTCTAGAAGTGTCTTGAATAGCTGACTATTCTCTACAGATTTTGCATTCGTCTTGAAATTAGTAATCCCCATTTTAGTCTAATTGTAACTTGAAGATATTTTATTGGAGATATTAGGGAATTTACTGCGACTAGCGTTTTAGCTATTTGCACTTTTCTAAGGGCTTAGAAAATTCTATTCATGATTTAATAGTATTTATTACTCCTGAGATTGCTTGAAGTTCTATTCCTTCACATTAATATTTGATTAATTCTTGTAGCTAAGGGCTCTGTTATTTACAATAACGTTACTCTTGTGAAACAACATGTTTTTGTTTCACCTTAGGTTTAGATTCTATTCGATATCAATAAAACTCTCATGTGGTTTTGACATTGCCATAAATAATTCATCCAATTAAAGATCAGTTTTAAGATTCTCATGAATCGACATTGCCTTTTGGTCTAAGATAATATTTTCCATTAGCTTATTATAATTTATTTTAGATCCCCTTATTATATCTAAGCTCTATATGTGGGGTTTTGGGGTTTTGGGGAGATCGGAAAA